AGTAGCTTTGTATGCTTAGGTTTGTAAGAGGCCAAATTCTCCTTCTGTTACGGCCCCTTTCCCGTAACCACATAGCTTTATGGATATATTTTTCCCCTTCCATCATTACTTGTTTCAGTTTCCACTAAACAAGTTCTTGTGCATGTGGATGAGTGAATGTTGAGTGAAGTCACGGGATAAATTTTGGTTTAGTGAAGTCCATTGAAAAAAGACAAGAAATATTTATGTGAATGTCCTACAGTAGTTTTTGTTAGAACCATCGCAAACTTGTCAAGGGCGGGCCTGGTGCAAGCGGTAGAGTCTTACCGCTTTGTGACCGGAAGGTCCTAGGTTCGAGTCGTGGTCTCCTCAAGATTGCACAAGCGAAGAGGTAAGGCTTGCCACCGACACCTTCCTGCAGACCCCAAGACAGAAGCGGGAGCTCTCTGACCTGGCACGCCTTTTTTTATTGCAAACTCGCTGCAGACCTGCAGTATTTATTATTAGAACTATTGCAAAGACAACCAAAAGTAGTACTGCTATTGAGAAAAGAATGCAGGCAAAAACATACAAAAGCATAATAACAAGATAGTTTGGGTTGGAGAAAACTGAACTCCTGACACTGTCTCACGGAGCTGAAGAGAAGGCAGAGTTCAGTTTCCTACAACTCTTACCTTCAGAGCTAGATAATGAAATGTTTGGGTTGCGATCATGTGTTGCATCTGTTCTGATATTCTCTATCATGAGTAGTGCTTGTCCAGAAAAAAAAAGTTCTGAAAAACAGTTGTGCTTTCTAACAAACTCTGACCAGAAATAACCTTGCCGTGCCTTTTGTATTTCAGGCATGCTTCCTGCAACCCAGGCCTCAGATAAGATTTTCATCTGGTGTCAATGCTGAAGGTAAACATAACCAAATCCTAGACTGCTGCTATCTGATCTTTAAAATATGTCAACACAGGTGACACATTTTTTAACCAGTCAGGAACTCAGGAGCAATTTTTTTATGCCAACTGAGGAGCAAATTGACATGTTATTTTGCACACCTGGAAACTGATAGCTTTATTTTAAACTCTACTGATCAGTAGTCAGTAGTTCAGTACTCCTAGACATACAATTTAAACTCTACTGATCAGTAGTAGTCAGTAGTCAAGTGCGAAACTCGTTTTCTAAAAGGGCCAAGAAATAGATGTCATTGCAATTATTGTTTGACATACACTATATCCATCAGTGTTATTGTTTGACATACAATTTAATTTGCAAGAATTGATTTGTCTGGATCTCTCTTCCAGGCCAAGAATCCTTCGTTTAGAACTAGAAGTGACGTCGTGGTGTTCCATTACACCTCACTTGCAGTGTTGCAGAAAATGAATCAGACCACAGGCGACTTATCCAATTGGTTGTACAGTGTGTTTTCTCTTCACTAACACCATCACTCTTAGCTCTGATGTCAATGTGCTGATTTTTCTGTAGTAACTTAGCTTTGATTGTGAACTGTAATAATAATTTTATGGTATGGTTAGTGCCTTCTAGACTTTTGGTCCCATTCGATTTTTGGATACTTTTTCCTTGCGATGGTTTTGTAAATTGCGGCTGGATCTATCTTCATTGGGCCTTAAATAAAATGTTGAACTAGAAGGATATTTTGTCTAAATTAGGCCTTAAATGAAATGTAAAGCGACTACAAACCTTTTATATTATCTGTAAAATTTCAGTGTCATGAACTCAGGGGAGTTGTTTGTTGAAATGCAGTAGACGAGGAGATTTATGAACACCCAGTGTCTGCACTTGTCTCAAATAACTATTAGATGAGGAATTGATTTATGAATATTTGGTGGTTTTGGGTTGATTGCTTCGAGTACAGTGCTCCTTGACCATGTTTTAGCAACTTAGAGTTGGCAGAAGTACTTGTACTATTTCCCCATATCCTTTACTGTAAAAGCTACTTCTTTCCTTGAGGATATTGTCTTGTATTCATGTCCGTAAAGGCATAAAACATACATTCTAGCTTGTCTTTGGTTTTCGGAAGATGTGTATGTTTGCCCGCTTGCTGATCTTTTTCAATGCTACTAATACAGTAAACATTGCAACTCGCTAGTGGTCATTTTTCTAAGTAAAAAATGTGTGCCTTATTATATTGTATACTACCTAGGGAGTATTAATATCTTATTTAATTATTTCCCTTTTTGCAGGGTAGAATGTGCGTATGTGCGCATCCATAGAGGTGAATGTGAATGTGCGCGTCGATATGTGAGTGTCTCTTTGGGTCTCGTAAAAAAAAGAAATGAAGCTTAGAAGGAGTGAAACTTTGAGCATGCATGGCTTTGTGTTCTTGTAATTTTGCTATTATAATCTCTATGCAAACCGCATATTGTTGCAGTGATTTTGTAATATAATTTGTGATTTTAAACAATTTAGTTATTCATTTGTAACTGATCAAGTAAGCAGGCAGGCATTAAGCAGTCAATGCGTTGCATGGACGCGTAGATTTCTAGCTACATCACTACGTGCCCGGTCGGCCCTCCCCCTAACCATCCATCATACAGAGCGCAGAATAGAGATAAACTCCAGACAGCGAGCGCACAATCCAGACACAGTAAAAGGATTAGGCCCAAACATGATAAAAGGATCGTGCCCCAAGGGCCTAAAAGGGGCCAGGATTGGAGCAGGTTGTACTTTTAAATGGATAGAATTGTGGATCAGATTATAACTATTTAAGTATGGATTGGATTAGGATCGATCGCGATCCATTACCAGGCACCTGCCCCTCCTCAAAATAGACGTGCCGGCAAGCAGCTATAACACTACTTTTCAATCATAGAATAATACTTTCTTCTCACAACATTTCAGCATAAACATCAGTATAAGCCAGATTTCAGTATGTTGTTTACCTATGGCTTCTTCCTTCAGCTTGTTAATAACATGGTGACTGCTTCAGATAAGTTGCTATGCTGCGATACAGATTCATGAAGGGTGTTGGGGGGATATTTAGGAGTGTCGATTACTCAGTAGGTATGCCAGTTTATTCCTATGAAGTACAGAACACTACTCGGCAAACTGATTTGATATGGTTCATTGCATTGATGGACTATCTTTGTCTTTAATAGCTCAATTCGTTCTTTGATATTTATCTGCTTGGCATATATACCTGTCCTCAAGAACATTATCAGTCAGTGAAAAAATTAGCCGGTCGATAACAACATAATCTTTACCTGGTAGAACAGAATATCTAATTGCCTCTTTGAATAGCTCACGCTTGAGCTCTCATGTTTATTTGGTTTCGAGGGAAATTAGGGTGCACATGGACCACAAGTTAAATCTAAAACAAGTGTGAACGTAAAGTTTTTTGAGATTGTCTAAAACTATTTCAAAGAATTTTGTGCTTCATATCAAAATTTAGTGTTTCTGGGTAATTATATGAATAAATAAAGATAACATTATCAAACTTCTTCTAAAGAGATTAATATTATGTATTTTTACTTGAACATGTATATACTTGTATTGCTCAAGTTTTCTCGATAAAGGAAAAATTTGGTATGTGGCTGTGCATATCTACTAGTAGGAAGAAAAACCTTATAAATATCATACACATTCTATAAATAAATATTTTGAGAATTACTTCTTAAAATCACAAACTGAACAAAATGGTAACAAAAAAAGTGATTTAGATTTAAGAACAATGGGCTTATTTACAGAAGAGGCATGTCCCTGTATATGAGATCAATTTACAACTTAATCTAAGGCAGGCAAGCAAGATGATAGTGCAAAAGGGACATGTCCTCTCTATATATATTGTATGACAAAAGAATGAACAAACAACAAATAAGTATTCCCTCATTCGAAGTTGTCTCCCCACAGCTTACTGTTTATTTTCAGCTGTGAGCATATCATTTCCTTACAAGCCAAATAGACAACCATTTCTGGTACATTGGCAGAGGTCCGGGGGCACACAAAACAATTAAATAGAAATCAAGAGTATATTTGGCCCTTACAACATTGGCATTACCAAATTGTTTCATACAGAGTTTCTTCACAGTAGTGTTTTTGGCCACTACCTGAAACTACTTGTTCGGTCTCATACAATGTTAGCATGCATCAGTAGAAACCAAAATAATCCATTCAGCTAGTGAGACTTATGTAAAACATCAGATGAAAAATGTCATACTGATAAAAATGGTTGGACAAAAGGAAAATCTAATACTGTCAGAAATCACATTAGCTAACAAGTTCCACAAGAAGGACTAATTCAGAGAAGAAAACTGAAGCTAATGATAAACTTCACTACTTCAGCAAAATGCTGAGCAGAGAAACTAACAAACATGCACGTGAGGGCTCAAATTCAAACCCAACTCATAAATAACCACAACTTAAACTTGAACTATGTAAGAGCAGTCAGTGATCACTAGTGGTTCTCTTTGCAAATGGAAAAGGCCTGCACAACTGCTAATGAGCATTGAGTTACAGTTCCACCATAGACCATACGCCTGAACCAGAGATGCTTAAATTACACTCTAGAGGGCACAATACCAGCACGAGCTGCAGCATAAGCATCTGCAAGGCCAGGAACAGAGTCCATGTGAGAGTCGATGAACTTTGATTTGAAAATCTCCTCTCCAGTATAACCTAATGAGGACAGGCTCATATTGCTATTCAGTAATCCCTTTTCCTGCAGGATCTTCATGACATAATGCCGGGCACTAGTCGCTTCTCGAGGCTGTATGTAAGCAGGACAGGCTTTTCCACAATTGTCCATGGCTCCATCGCAGCCTCGTTGACTAGGAACTCAATCTTGCGGAGAAGATTTTCTCAGACAACCTAATATAACTGGCATCTTGGACACTGCAGTGGAAACCTCAGACTTCGAACAACCAAGAGTTCTCTTCAAGAACTCAAGTTTGGCAGCAACCTTCTCTTTGGAAATACAGACAACGACGTACACTGCATACTTGAATAGCCCCGAAGTGGGAGGCACCCCAAGTTGTTCCGCCCGTAGCAAAAACTCTTTCACGCGTTCCGGGTTGAAGTTAAGCAGCCGTGGGACCTTTTGAACACAGCTGGGCAATATCTCGAACACCCCGATGACGCAGCAAAGCAATGTTAGGCTTGACTGACCTCTCAATGCTCGCGCTGAGGAGACGGCTATTCCTCCTTAGGACCACCAAGACCTGCTCAAACGAGCCATAGAAGGAGATGAAGAACTCGAGCTTGGGAACGACGCCGCTGCGGGTGCGAACATGTGGGCCGACCAGGAGGAAGCGAACGATTTGGGGAGGAGAAAGACCGACGCGGTCGCGGAGACCAAGAAGGCGGGGCGCGATCTTCTTCGCGTAAGCGCGGAGGAGCAGCGGGTCCGCGGAGACGACGGCGGCGATGTCGGCGCGGGAGAGGCCGGCGCCGGCGAGCAGGGCGATGATGGCATCGGGGTTGGAGGCCGAGTTGAGGCGGGAATAGGAGAGCTCATCCAATGGTCTCTTGGATCCTGTGGATAATAATTCGCGGGACAACTTCTTGGACACCTCGCAGGCCTGTGTTGGGGCGAGGCCGCAGGAGGCGACGAGGTAGTCCTCGACGGAGAAGGGCGCGGGGGAGGGGGAGGTGGTGGTGGAGAGGATGCAGCACGGGCGGGGGTGGATGGGGGCGGGCAGCGGTGATGCGGCGCGGAGCAGAGCGGGCAGGCGATTTCGGAGGCGCAACATAGCGGCGGCGGAGGAGCGGCGACGGCGCGGGCGATGACAAGGCTCGTTGCCGCGATGGGAAAAAAAAGAGAGGATGCGAGACCGCGACTGCCAGGGCCAGCCAGCTGCCAGCTCTAGGGACGCTGGGTATAAGGCAGCCCAGCGCCTCAGCCCATTTGATGCGTAAGCTAGCTGCCTCCCGGGCTGTGGCGCAGTTGGCCGAACTGGAAATTCTGAACAAGGCCCACCTGCCCTTCCTCAAAATAGACGTCCGCACCGCGAGCCACATTCGCCGTGCCGGCAAGCTGCGTCGGCGTCGCGCCCGCTCGCCCGGCGGCCATACAACCACAGAACCGCCGCCGCGTCTGCCGTGGCCCGTGGCCGGTGGCCGAAACCCCGTCGGCAGGATGAGCCGATCCGATCGGCGTGCAGGTCAAAGGGCACGCCAACACGACGCCTGGCGGGCGATCGAACCGGACGGGGGCGACAAGGCACGGAGGTTGAACGTCTGACCCGCCCCAATCGCCGGCAGCCGGTGATTTCAAACCGGCCACCCTGGTTTGTCAAACGGGGAGGGGTTCTACTCGCCGAAAACACAAGCGCCGAAGCGCAGCAGAAAAAACACAGGCGCCGAAGCGCGGCCACGGACGAGGCACGCACGAGGAGCGCCGAGAGCTTGACAGGACTCGGGGCGACGCCGACGCCCCTGCCGTTTCGGACGGACGCTACGACCGTTTCGTCGTGAGCATGGCAAAACATCCATCCCCGGCAAAATATTCAGTGTGTTCTGCTTTGCTCTGCTCCTCCACGTGCTCGATAGGGAACGAGGTGGGGACGCGAACAGGACAAATGCTGCCTGCCCCAGCGTATTTGAGTCACGCGCGTGCGAATTCAAGCGGCACACAAACTGCTACCGTAGAAACTCCTACAAAATGATCTTTTGTTAGAAAAACGAGGCAATGCAAGAGTCAAAGACGCGCCTGCCTCTGCCTGATGTTGGCATCAGTTCTATATACTTCCAGGAGTACTTCTGGACGGAGTGGTTTGGTTTTGTTTGGAAACCTTAATCGGCAAGCAACAAACCGACGGATCCGCCGGTCAAACGGACACGATGAAAAACGGGCAGATTTCGCATGGCGTCTGAAAGCTTCCCCCGGTTGACCTTTTGTGAGCACAGTGGTCTGACTCTGACTGGCTGGCTGCTCCGAATTCAACTCGCTGCTGGCTGCTGCTACCACTACCAGGTGCTGACATGAAAGCTTTTACCAGGGGCACACGCGCACGCATTGACGGATCCAACACTGACCGGCAGCGCGGGTTTCCCAAACCGTGATGATGCCCAGCCCTGCTTTGTGTTGCAGTTGTGGAGCAGCTTTGCCTGCTTTCTAGCTTCTTCTGGAACGGAAGGTACAGTTGACATTGGCGAG